TGAGCTTACATGACCCGACGTTTGCACGTTTTCACATCGCAGCTGGAAGCCATTACCTGGAAGTGGTGACGGGAACGCCCTGAAGATTCAGCATTGCTGACCTGATTTTTGACCATTTTGAACATATATATTTTATATTTCATATTATATGTTATATATATAATAGGTAGATAAAGGTAATTGGAGACACGGTATATCAGCAAAGAAGAGAAGAGAAAAACAAAGTTTAAAAAACATTTCTTTCTTATCAACCAAATATTAATAAACAAAAAATAAATAAATAAAAAACAGTGAAACAACAAATAATTAAATAATAATTATAATAATTATTATTATACGTTTTACCAGATAATAACCAGTGAAAACACCTAAACCCAAAATAAAAAGGTAAATGTTAACTCTAGAAAATCACATTAAAAACAAAACAAAATAATAAATCAAAACGACAGGAGAGTTGGTTTGGTTTTTCAGTTGTAACTGATTTAATAAGAACAAAGAAAACAACCTTTTCAAAAAACAACCGTCCTCTTCTTCTTCTTCATTACCTCCGGCTGTAGTCACGGTAAACCGGCGGCCGTCCTCACAGTGAACACCGGCTACTCTTTACTTCTATTTATAGCTCCGACACTGGAGCTAAAAATGCTAATGCTAATGAGCGTTAGCTGCTAGTTTACAGTTTCAACAAAATAACAATTCTTCAGGGTAACGGTAACAATGGGACTTTGAACCTGAAGGTCAAGTGTGTGTGTGTGTGTGTGTGTGTGTGTGTGAAATAACAACAACACTAATCCTTCGACGAGTGAAGGCATTCAAATATATATATATATATATATATATATAAATACTAATATAAAAATAATAAAAACCTAAACAACGACCAAACCGTAACCAGAAAAAAATAAATGAATAATTTTTACCGTTTTGTGCTTGTTTTCCTGTCTGTGTCTACGGTTCATCGCCGTCACGTCATGGCGTCATTTAGGGTGGAGGAGAAAAACAAGATGGCGGACCGTGCTGTCTGTACTTGCTGTTGTTGTTGTTGTGTCTTCTTTACGTCAACTGTAAACGTTTGTATGTTTGACTAACCTGAGCGATTTACCGCCAAAAGTTACGTCGTTCCGGCGGAACCAACTTCAGTCACAGCGTAAGAACTTTGACCACGGTGAAAACGGATATGACGTCAATTTCATCATCGATTCGAAGTTTAAAAGAAAGTTCGGCTTATAATGTGATCGAATAAATGAATCGATTCTACCGACAACAGTGGAGGGTCGGTCGGTGAAGACGCGGACTGACGTCCGGACGGTTGTTGGTTCGAGTCTGCCAGAAGACCTGTGCTGATCATGGTAGTAATTAACAAGTTAATTAATGCAAAACTTTATATTTAGAAATCTGAAGTTTGACTAAAATATAAATACAAATTTAAAAAGAAAAACGAATTTATAAACGACTCAACCGACAGCTGTAAATCATTGTTGTTTATAAAAGTATATAAATACCTATATATATTTGTATATAATTATATATATAAATATATATTTGTATATGTATATAGATACATATATAAATATATATTTGTATATGTATATAGATACATATATAAATATATATTTGTATATGTATATAGATACATATATAAATATATATTTGTATATAATTATATATATAAATATATATTTGTATATAATTATATATATAAATATATATTTGTATATAATTATATATATAAATATATATTTGTATATAATTATATATATAAATATATATTTGTATATAATTATATATATAAATATATATTTGTATATGTATATAGATACATATATAAATATATATTTGTATATAATTATATATATAAATATATATTTGTATATGTATATAGATACATATATAAATATATATTTGTATATAATTATATATATAAATATATATTTGTATATAATTATATATACAAATATATAGCTGTTTTGTGTTCTGTTATGTTTTTGTTCTTTTTTAAAGAAATATATATAAATCATTTTTTAAAAAATCAAATGAAAATAACTAATGAACTAATAAATCACGTGCAGTGACTTGGACTGACCTGTTCACGTCGGTGACCTGTTCACGTCGGTGGTTGTTTTTTCATCTTTAACTGAATTAAACCAGAAACATCGACAGTAGAAAGACTGATGACGTCACTCAGACATAAAGTCATCAAACTGCAGCTTACCTCACCCCTCCTCCCCTCCTCACCCTCTCG